GGGCACTGGACTGTCTACATGTCTGCCCCCAGGCCACCTTCAGCTCTGAGCACGACGCAGCCAGAGGTAGGTGGAAATTAAGTAAAGTGTAAATGAAAATATTGGTTGATTGCGGGGGCACGTCGTTCAGGATATCTTGCACGGTACACTTGACAAGATCTGTGGGCATTTTCGTTTGCTTCGCTCGCCATAAATTATGAGCATATCATAATAATCATAATTTCTAGATAAATACGCCATTTCCAAAAAAAAAAACTTTAAAATAAGTCTATTAAATGTACTCTCGAAAAACAGCACAGCAAGCACTACAACAATGCATTACAAACTAACTTTCAAATACAGTCCGGCTTCATAAGAAACCTACAAACTCGTCAAAAGTACAGAATTTTTTGTAAGTACTCGCCGCGATAAAACATATGTATTCCAACAGTTCCAAAACAGTTTTAAACACATTTTTTAAATAGCATTTTTATCTATGACGTTAACCTTCCGATACAAGTCTGTGACATCAGTTAACTCAGTGTTTGCTCCTTTTTCACCGCTTTAAATTACTGACAAAAGTATATTAACGCCCTGTATAATTGTAATAATATATACAGGATACATATACTTTAAGATTAAAATCAACGAAATGACTATAAAAATTTGTATCTGATAGAATCTGTAAGTTGAACTTAGTTTTTGACAATTACTGTTTAATGTGCCTTAGTTTGTCAATATTTATATGTATAAACTTGTCCGTACTTTTTTTGTTATCAATAATTTTGTTTTATTAACTTTTTTTTGTATTGTTTTTTTATCTTTTTTTCTATCTATCTTTTATTTTAGATTCAGGTGATACGACTACACAAGGCAGGTGGTGGAATGGGTCTCTCCATAGTCGCAGCGAAAGGCGCGGGGCAGGAACGCCTAGGAATCTACATAAAATCCGTCGTGCCAGGTGGTGCGGCTGACAGAGACGGCCGGCTTGCTGCTGGTGATCAATTGCTGTCGGTAGATGGTCAGTCGTTACTTGGAATCACTCAGGAGAAAGCTGCGGAGTTTCTGCAGAGGACGAGCAGTGTCGTCACACTGGAAGTGGCTAAAGCCGGTGCTGTTTATCACGGATTGGCTACGCTGTTGCAGCAACCGAGTCCGACGCCACATAGGGGTAAGCGTAATATCATAAAATTTTTGGTTTATCGTTTTTTAGAAACTATTGTTTTTCAAATTATTTACCAAATATTTACGAATCCTGTTAGTGCAAGTTTACCTGTTATAAAAAATTCAATCAAGTCTTTAATTGGTGTAGTTTCGATACTTTTGGAAGTTTCCTTGTATTTCCCAAGGAGGACAAATAGTAGTAAAGTATCAAGGGATCAATTTAAAAAAAAATGTATTTTGAAAACTGCATTTCAATATTTTTATTCGATTGAAAGATACAGTGCATTTTTATAATTTTTTTTATTTTTTGAAATTTTTATTATTGCAAAGAGGATTTCTCGTCAATTCTTTCGTAAATTCCAGTGGTGCTTCTAAACTATCAAAAATTGTCACAATTTTTTTTTAAATCACAAAAAAAGAAACGACTAAAAATAAAAAATGGCCTGTATCTGTAAACACATTTGATAATTGCGATGTGTTGAATTTTTCTTGAAAATTGTGCCAATGACTTTTACCGTGTCTCCTTGGAAAATACAAGAAATCCGTCCCAAAAAATGTCGAATTATATATAATCTCAGTTGACGTAGAGATTTTAATAATTATTTGCAAATTTAGGGAAGAAGTGCAGGTGCAGACCAAAACGATGCCATGGAAAGTATTAAAATGTTATTTTCTAAACTCCCTGTATAATAATTTGAACTGCTGCAAAATTTTTATAGATGTAATGAAATAGATGCAACTCGAGCTAGCTCAAAATA